CCATAGCGATGAATTGCATGAAACCAAAAGTGTCCTGCTTCGCCATTCCTATACACCTTCACCTACGACGAAATAATGGAGCACTTCCTAATGGGTTTTCAAAATACTGGACTTGAGTGAGTAGCTGATGAAAAGCAGTGTGAAGTAGAGGACATGCCAATTTATTTTCACTGGGTTAAATAAAAATTCGTTGCAGTCAACACTTGAAACACTTTAAAATGGCACATACCCGATACTCATGATTCTGCGTGAACTCTCCCCGGGAGCTGTGCAATTATTCAAACGACGCTGTTAGCACAACGTTAAGATAAACTCCCCTATTAACAAAAATAACAATAATATGATGGTGATGATGATGACGATAACGAGGCCGAGACTCAGAGTAGCTGAGTTTATCAACGCGTCCAAACAACTTCGAACCAGTACGTGCGGAAAATTACCTTGGGATATCACATTCCGACAAATTTCTTCCGCTTCATCAAATTGGCCATTGTTCAGAAAGCGTTCTGCTTCACCGAGATAATGATTCCATTCCAATGGTAGTGAACCCCGGCGCTGAATCAGAAACCGATAAGAAATCGTGTCCAATCACCGTGAACCAGAGTATCGAGAAACTTGTATTGAAATTTCATCAATGACACAAAATTATTTGTCACAGATGTGTAGGAAAGATAGGGACGGTGATGGGATTTCATTATACAACAATGGTAACATACCATACGTTTGGGAGCCACTGCAGGCGTGTCCACATTCACTGTGGAAGTTGTTTCGCCACCACTGGTTGTAATGCTACCACCACGACGACCGCGCCGCCGATTGAGCTTCCTTTGCAAACGGCGAGCTAAAATGAAATGTTAACTTGCACAATTAGACGTTGACAAACACAGAATACAATAGACTAAACGACATTGAATGAACCACACGCACACACACACAGCTACACTCTTTGAGAGAACGAAAGCGTCAACCTTGGTACAGATATTTCAGCCTGTAAGAGAGGAACAAGAATCATATGCATTGCCCAAAATATTGATTGATATCTGTCTACGGTACAACATTTATCTGTTGCAGTTAACACGCGTCATATGGACCGAAAATATCCCATTGGTTAGTGATAAAACATTGAAAAACAGTTGCCCAGCTCCATGGGTAGACACTGCGAATTCCTTTCACGATATGCAGTAGTTCAGCTGATTCGAGTTCGAGTGAGCTACAGAGTAGAGTGTTCGTTTGCAGGAGCCACCATCGTATTGAAAGCTTGGGGTAAAGGTTGAGGAATGGTGTGACTATTATGTTCGCCTTTCACAAACCCGTTATCACTTATCACTGTTGCGGCTCGAAAATCCAGTGGAGCGTGAATTTTTACTACACCCGTCAATGTGGTGGACCTCATAGTCACCAAAATCTATTTCTCATTGATAGAAACCGTCAACCTAAGTCTCGGGACTTGATGCGATGAACCAAAAAGGCCCTGTTAGGTTAGGTGTGGCACAGAACTGGAAGACAGAAAAGCTGCCTTCCACCTACGCTGGGTGGCTAGGCTCAAACCTAGGACCATGGAGTCCAAATCACGCCGGTGCCAGCAACTAAATTATTGCGTCACCACCACATGATGGTATACATAGGACCTCTGCTCGAAAACATTTCTCTAAAGCCAAAATAAGTCGGGAGAAGGATACATTGCTGAGAACTGCCTGACTTAGCAAAGGATTGGAATGTTACCGACATCCGTTATTTCAATGACGTCAATCAATATTTCAAACAGATTCAAATTTAGTAAACCAAAAAGAATATCCATTTCAAATCCCGTCGCAAATAGTAGAAATTATCAACATCGCTTACTCACGCGGAACGAACTCCGGATCGTCTGAGTCGTTGGACGCAGCTGAATCCTCCTCATCCGAATTAGTTGAAATGTCATCAGCCAATCGGTTGGTGGTGTCTGACGGCTCCTTGCGATGCAACTCTCGCATTAAATCATCAAAAGTAATTTGGCCATTCAGGTAGCTGGAATACAGTGACTCATTTGATAGAATATCGTCAAAGAACCCGGTTCCGCATAGCATTTCTGGATCATCCGTGCTGAGCCCAAGCAATGGATCTGTATCTTCCGGCTACATAACAATGAAGGCACATTAGAATGGAAAACTGACCTGAAGTTCAATTATTTCCACATTCGGAATGGACTCGATACAAGTAGAATTTGAGGGTGGTTCCGCTGGATTCGAATCTGACGTCACTGGACGAGGCTTCGTTTTACGTTTAGCCATTTCTCTGAAATTGTGAAATCAGGAAAGACCTGGAGAAATATTTTGGTTGTAAAATGGAGTGTCACTCAATCTTTGACTGCAACGAAATGTGTCAATCGGTCACAACCCTTTTTATTACACACACAAACAGCGAAAGCTATAGCAGCTTTCCCCAACCTGCGACACCTGTAGCGCAGCCATGACATCCGACTGTCCTTTGATGGAAGGGTGTACATCGCCGCAGTTCGTAGTATTTTGCTTTACAGTTGCGAGACGTGTTCTCTCCGCGTTGCGGATGCTAATCTACTTTATGTATTCGACCACCGATGTCTCCGAAGCATTGCTCGTGTCTGGTGGGAACATCGGGTGAGAAATGAAGAGGTTCGTCACCGTGTACTAGGTGTGGATAGTCGCTCTCGAACAGAAATAATCGCTCTACACCGCCTCCGTTGGCTTGGTCACGTAGTGCGTATACCTGCCCATCGAATACCTTTCCGTGCTCTCTTTGCACGTGCCGCGCAAGGCTGGAAGAAGCACCGCGGCGGTCAGAACATGACATGGCGTAGATATATGAAGAAGTAAGCCTCAGCATTGGCCTCGGTTGGTGCAACTCACCTTTAAGACTGGGGCCCAAGGGATGAGAATTGTCGCTGGTTAGAGAAGTTTAGAGATACGGCCCAGAATATAAGCCAGTGGCGCGAATGCGGTACGGTTTGCCTGTTGAAGTCCCGTGCCCCATAAAAGGATGATAAATTACCACAAGAAAATTCAAAAAGTGTACGGTGAAACACAAAATAATTGTTACCCCAATTATTTACAATTTTCCATTCTAACAGTTTGCCTTCTTTTACTATGCATCCCAAACCCCCATCGCGTTATTGTTAGATATTGTTGTGGCGTTGGCACCATGCTTGCTAGGAGGGCATAAGATTTCCAGCAAAATCGATCTAGTTCGAGCGTACAACGAAATTCGCGTACATCCTCAGGATGGCCCAAGAACCGCTATGACCAAGCCATTTGGCCTCCTAGAGTTTATGCGTGTCTTTCGGTTTGAAAAACGCAGCGTTTTATAGACCAAGTATGTCATGGCTTACACAACACCTTCGGTTACTTACATGAAATCTTAGTCGTTAGTGCAACACATGAGGAACACGAACAACATCTACGCGCTCTAATCGCACATGACACAACATAGTGTCAGGATTAATGCAGTAAAATGTTCCTTTGGAGAGCGTAGTGTAAACTTCCTAGGTCATCTTTTTTATTACATAATGTGAATTACAGTAAACGGGGAAATCCTCATGGACAAATAGCATACTGTAAAGGGGAGAGTGAGGGAAAATTCACGTAAGGCCCAGTTTATTGATTCTGCGTTTAAAAAGTGTAAAATTGTAATTTGGGAGGAAAACAATCAGGGGAAGGGTGTTCCACAGTTTGGCAGTTCGGGGAAAAAAGATTGGAGCGGAGAGGTACGACATCTGGGAACAGAAACTTGATAAGGATGACTAGATGCCTGTGTACGGGATGGACGGGTAAAAGTTGCAGGAAGAGGAACTGCCGAGGCAAGTTCCGACGAACAAAAACCAAAGTAGTGGCGGTAGAACAGGGACAATGAAATAACTGCCCGACGATGGGCTAGCGACTGTAGACTGGATGTTAGGGAAGGATCATCGACTAGCCGGATGGCCTTCCGCTGAACACGATCAAGAAGGGAAAGGGAAGAAGACGAAGACCCATCCCACACTAGACTACAGTATTCAAGAGCAGGGCGGATTTGAGCTTTGTACAACAGATGAGCTGGGGTAAAAAAACGTCTGGCGCGAAATAGAAATCCAACAGTGCGCGCAGCACGAGAAGCAAGCTTGGTTATAAAAGGGGACCAGCATAAAGAAGTTATAGGCAATCTAAGAAGGGAAACAGTCTTTGGAACGCAATTGGGTGGAATCAAAAGATAAATGAGGTGAGAACCAATGGTGTTTTAAAGAAATTGAAAGAAGAGAGGTTTTAGAACTATTGAACGAAACGTGGTTTGCAATTCCCCAGATGTGTTCGAGACCGGAGTCCAGTGACAAATTAATTGCACTACAGTCCCCACCGATGTTGGTTTGGTTATGGCGAGCAGTGCGGTAGAGGGAGCAGTGGAGGGTGGCGTCATCAGCAAAAGAATGGATCGGGTTAGTAGTTTGTGAAAGGAGATCATTGATAAATGGAAGGAAGAGGGTGGGCGAAAGTACAGTACCTTGGGGAACACCAGCGCTCACAGGGAATGGCTGAGATAGAACCCCATCAACTCGGACGGAGATGGTTCGCTTACTGAGGAAACTTGATATCTACGCTACGAGCGCTGGAGGGAACCCCAACATGAGTAGTTTCGCCAGTATACCTTCGGGCCAAACTCGGTTGAAAGCATTGGAGATGTCAAGCGAGACCCAGTGTGTTTCCCCGTGGTTATCGAGTGGGGCTGACTAGGATTGTGAGACAAGATCCAGGTCACCGGTGGAACGACGCGGTCGAAAGCCATACTGGCGGTCGCTTAGTAATCCTTCGCGTTCAAGGAAGTTGCGTAGCTAGTCAGAAATGATCGTTTCAAATACTTTCGAAAGAACAGATGTGAGGGAAATAGGTCGGTAATTGTTAGGGTTAGAAAGGTTGACACGTTTGGGAATGGGAAAAACCACGGCGTGCTTCCAGGGGGTTGGAAAGGAAGAAAGTTAGAGGGAAAGACTGAAAAGACAACGTAAAACAAGAACCAGCTCGAGAGCACACATTTTGAGGTCGATTGGTGGAATACCGTCCGGATCGGATGGTTTGTTTGCATTTAGAGAGCGCAATGATCTCCGACACAGGTACTTCTCCCCGTAAAGACGAAAAAAGCCATTTTAGAAGACCCAGAACCGACCTCCACCAAACGGCTTCGATGAGTTAGTAATTTTTTTCCAACGTTTTATACCGTAATGTGCAAAGCTTATGCAATTACTCATTCATTTACTACGTGGTAACTTGAAACAATTCACGTTCACCCACGACGCTCGCAAATCATTTGCCGAACGGCAACGGGCTCTTTCTAATACACCAGCAGTTTCACATCACATCCTGAACGCACTTTTGGCTCTCATCACAGACCCATCCAACGTAGCAGTAGGTGAGGTACTATAGCAACATGTGCGTCAAAAATTGAAAACTTTCAGCATTCTTCTCGGAACGTTTGTAACCGGCTGAGTCTCGTTGTAGCACATTCGGCCGCGAACTCCTAACCATCTACCTAGCTATCCGTCACTTTCGTCACACGTTAGGTCGTCATTTCGCATTCACAGATCACAAATTACTCAAATTCGTAACACACGCAAACTGCGACGGATACTCCTCAAGGTTAGCATGCCACCTAGATTATGTCACTCAGTTTACTGAGGCCTTATGTGGTTTACCACTCAGGATTGGGTTGTCGATCTTCCTCACACCACAAACGAACAATATAACTCACACAAATCACAAAATGCGCACTCTACCCCCGAACTCACAGCACTCTATAGCCCTCGTAGTTTAAATAAAAATGTCAATTCCATACACCATTTCCCCCGATCTTGTTTTCTTATTCGTCATTGCAGTTGTTAGGAAACGTAGACATTTCTAGTATTCAATGAAATTAAAAGATGCCTGATGCGTCATAAAAATAGTGCATTCAAGGCATATTTTGAGGGGGATTGTGCAGAATTCGACTACTGTATACGTCTACCAGTTACGACAGACTGAACTGCGGTTCCAATTATTAGGTTTCATTTCTGATAATCATGAATATAAAAGAATACGATAAGTTAATTACATTATATTGCTTATGGGAAACACTCCAGAGTGATCACCCAAGCTGATGAATCGATATATATATATATGAAGTGTTTTCCATAAGCAATAAAATCTAATAAATTTAACCCCGCAACGTGCCGCGGATGGCTTTGCGGACTCGGTGGTCAACTGAAGCCCTGGAGTAGTACGATCAAGGCGAATTTGGAAATACAGGGTCTTCAATCCTATATATGGAATCCGCAAGCTGAAACTCGACAGAGCTATCCAGGAGAACTGGTCTGGTATCGACACCTAATCAGCCCAGTGGAGCACAACGAGATGAGGCTAATTCGGGACCTCCCTCTGTCCTTAACACTTGAACATTAAAAATGTAACCCGAACTGGGTTTCTCACTGCGTCAACCTTGCTACCGATCGTCATGCATGGGCCACCATCATTAGAGACATCTAGGAAGCCGAGTTTATCCTCCTGCAGGAGCTAGTCGATCAAAAGCAAAAAAGAAAGTTCCCACTTATGATCAACGGGTTGTTGAAGAACAGCACCTGCGGCAACATTGAAAGCATCAACAGCAAAGCTAAAGGGGCGTCCGGAGAGTGGTGAGCTAGAAGTGACTTGTGAAAGTGCCTCCTTAACGGCACTGAAGGCCTAGAGGGCAGCCCCGGTAAACCTATCTTGTACGTGACGTACGTGTACGAGGCGGCTACCGGGTATAGGGCCAACGGGTAGTGAAGTTTCTATTCGTTGGTCAGACCTTTACCCTGCTTAAGTGACCCCGACCATTGGCACGGGGCAATGCACCTGCATGCCTGGACGCCCAACTTGTGGTGGTTCCAGCATAAAGGGCTGTGGGGGAAGGTTGAGAGTGAGCGCCTTTAGTTACCACGTAACCGGCTTCGGGACCGGTAGCATCGTTTAAGAAGCTGTGAAGTGGTCTGTTCAACCCTGTCTAGGCGAGCTGAAGAAGCTGCAAGTTGGTTGGCCATAGTGTTGTCGGCTACTTAGGCAACAACGCTGACGGGGCAGCCAACGCATGGTGCCAGCACCATGCAGACAGCCTTGGGCGGCTTTTGGACCCAAAGCAATTTATCACCGACTTCAAAGGGGACGAGCTCTTGCAGCATGTTGCGCAGGAGTTGGGAAGGCTTAGGGGAGCCGAGTCATTATCTGGATTGCGTTCCTGATTTTCCGTGGGCTGATAAGCTCGTACGAGTTATGACGAC